TGTTCTTTTAGTCTCGTGCTGATCATTCGTCTTGTATGTCCAACATAACATTTTCCAAATGTGCAGTTAATCCTTACACACCTTCTGTTGATAGCTTTGGTAATACATCTGTTGTACCAAATATTAATATCTGTATTTTATGTACCATGCCAAATCTGACTCTGATGTTTTGTTTTTCCAAACATCTGGCTAGTTAATCAGTTCCTCCCGCAATGCACGATATTTTGATCGTTTTAATTACTTGGGCAGTTTGAATGCCCATGTCATTCGATTTGGTTTTGTCATTCAATGCCCTGTTGATTTGTGCATCATTGTAACCGTTCATTTTCAGCGTGGACCTCCAATTCCATGGGCGCTTTCTAGGGCATGGAGCATTTAACATGCAGACACAGAGACAATAACACACAAAGAGACAGATACAAGAATACCGGAATCCCCCATTATAAGCAAGGAATGCGTTCCTGAGAGATGCTACTTAAAAATTACTAAAAATAAACTTTAATTCCCCATAAATCAGGGGTTGCATTCCTAGCCCACATTTCTGTATTTTTTTGCATGACTAAATGTCATGAAGCCAACGAAAATGCATGATTAGGAGTTAACATACATTTTAACTCATAATAAATACAAATACAGGCAGTCCCCGGGTTATGGAAGGGTTAGGTTCCGAGTATGATCCGTAACCCAAATTTTTCATACGTCGGAAATTGAACAATTTTCCCTCAAAATCAAGGTAAAATCAAGGTAAAATCCCATAGAAAGAAATAGTGCCTCCCCTTCCTGATTAATAGTTGGTTTTCTCTCAGTACTGGATTGCGCTGTAATCCGTTTTCTATCGCTACCTTTATCGTATCACTGTACATACTTTCTGCACTTCCTATGATTTTCATTTCATCGAATGTCTACCCTCACATTACCCATAATTAAACTAATGGAACATATACTGTATTAAATTCCTTCCCCCCCCCTGCAGCCGATCTCTCCAGTGCTGCTGCGGTGGTCCACTTTGCCCCGCCTCCTTCCCCTCCCACTTCTCTCTCCCCCCCTACTGCCGAGTCATATATAACCTCGTGCCACGGCAGATCTCTCGCCTACTTCAGCAGTTTTTTCTTGCTGTTGTTGTCCCACCTGATGACAATTGCTTGTGTTGCGATCGAAACATCATGATTTATTATTTTCTACCTACGTAACTTTACCGAAAGAACAAAAGAGTATGTATCCAATTGTTTATGAAAACCACAACACATTTTAATATTGTTAACAGAAAACATTAACTTCTGAATGTTCGTTTACCATGCATTAGGCTAGGTCGAGACTTCTCCGATCGCTGTTGGCTGAGACCATACGCAATGTGTAGTTGTGTTCAATAAAGTACATATAGTAGATAACTCATTAAATTATCTTAAAATGAAGAAAACTATCAATAGAATCATGGTGAAAAAAGAAAGTTCTATGTATAGAAAACAAATTATGCAATGCTACAACAAATTCCATTTACCTTAATCCTAGTGAAGGTTGGGCTCGGTAAAGGCAGTGTTTTTGGTTACGCCTCGCTCTGCGGTATTCATCCACAACCTCATCGCATTGCAGTATTGGCGCTTAAGTGACTAATGCAAACATTTCCGCATAGAGTCTTGATTTTTTTTTAAACATGTCTCATGGGAGCATTTCCGTAAAGTTGGATTTCCTTAAATCAGGTATTCCGCAACCCGGGAACTTACTGTACAGGAAAAGCTCTGAATCCACTTTACCATCTGGAATACTCTATCAACCAACATCTCTCATAAACGGCAATACAAATCTTCCTTCACATATCCAGAGAAATTCTGATAGCCATCCGGCATCTTGCCATCAGCTTCTCATAGATGTTGTTTCAGGAAACTTCAAGACACTCCTGAGTGGTGTCGCTTGTACACAAATTTAGCTCTTGCCGGGGTTAGTTTTGGCCTTTCACAGGTATAATGAACACTTAACCACTGTATCATTGGCTGCTACCATGGTGCGGGGTGGGTGGGAGACGGGAGGCAGTCGCCCCTAAACCTTTGCCATGGAAGCATCTCGTAGACAAAGACGCCCAGTGTATAGCCTATTAACAGACTGTTGGGCAAGTCCTATTAGCGATCGCCTATGAAGGCCAGCACAGCACACGAGGGGGATGGGTGGCCAATTCCACGCCCGGCCGCCTTTGTCTCCCAAGTGGTGTTGTTTACGCATCTCACCAGGTACTTATTTAAAGCTGAGTCGACCTAGGGGAGGACTAGAACCGATTAAGATCATCGTTACTGGTATTGAGCGTGAGTGGGATTCGGAACTCGGATTGCCGAGTTCATAGCGCAGCGCGCTAACCGTTGAACTATTGCTCCTCACTTGCAAACACACACCCGCTTTGGATCATCATCGGTAAGTACAGTAGTTATACTATTTGTTGAGAATTTGTTATATAGGTTTGCTACAGGTTTATTTTAATTATTAATTTTTTTGTTTATTTGGCATAAAGTACAGTAGAGTGCTTATTTCAATTGTGATTTTGGTTTCCATGTACCTAACACCATTATTTAGGTACGGCTCAAGTATTGAATAAAAGTTTTGTCTTTCGCGTCACTTTCTAAAAATGCGATACTCAAGAATCTTACTTAGAAAATTTGGTTAACCATAAGTATAGCACTCAGATTTGATTAATCAGCACCCTCTATTCCCCAAGGATGCCAGATAACAAAGGTTAACTGTAATCAGATCAAACTTATCAGAGATTGTTTAAGAGGTGACTAATAGAGGCCTCTTGGGGCGAGTACTGGTGGAGTTATGAAACAAAGGGGCAGGATCACCTGCCTCTTCATCTACGATGAAATTGGAGCCACAGGAATGTTCACCATAGGAAGCGGCTCTTTTCCGGGCTATCTTCCTCACTTTCTGGCTTGATTGCAGCATGTTTAAAAAAAAAAATAAGCTGTCCAAACACAGCTGTGCAGCATTTTTCTTCTTCTGCTGATACGTCTTATCACAGTGAAGGTTAATTAACATTCGTGATGGCAGTGCTATCTTTCATTGGCCTCTTCTTCAGCCCATTGTTGTTGTGCCAGCTGCATCAGATCCTCATTTGACAGGTCCTCACCATGGGAGTCAAGCAATGCCACCAAGTCCATGTCCTCTACATTGTGTCCAGCTTCCCTCCCCACGTGGAGGGAAATCATTTATATCTGCTATATGTGTACAATACAGTATTACAATACAGTATTACGTCGCAAAATAGTCGAAGTTTTCAGCACGTGAATTCCTATTTTTTTTTTAAACCACAGTATTTGCCCCTTTTTTAAAGAATGCATATGAAAAACATTGCACTTACAATGAAATATGTTCACTAATTAAACGGCAACGTAAATGTGAAACAATCTGGCAACTTATAGTGAAACTTTGTGAAGCGTTCCTGGGCAAACAAAAAACATGTTTCTGGGTTTAATATGCAACATTATCTTTAACTAGGTATGCATTAACGGTGTATAATGGAGAGCATTGTGTACTGGGTATGCATTAAATGAGGGAAGCTACATTACCCGTCACAAATTAAATTACTTATATTAAACATAACCCATAAGTCACAAAAAATTCCAAATTCGCTGTGCTTAATTTTGCGGGAAGCTAATGTTAAACATTTAGGTTTAAGCATTACCATTGTGTATAATAATTCTAATTTGCATTAGCAAACAATATACCACCATGCATCAATAGATACACCTTAGGCTCTGCCATGTCCGCGACCAACTGGGCCCACCTCAGGCATGAACATGTGCACGGCCAGCTAGGCCTGACTCAAGTTCAACCATGTGCCCGATTAACTAGGCCCGAACACAGGCCCGGCCATGTGCGCTGCCAAGCAGCTGTGTCCAATACGAAGGCTCAATCACACAATTACTGGGCCTCATTCAGGCTCCACCATATGCATTTTATCTAATCCTTGATGGCCATCCACACCATTATCATTAAACTGTATGAATATATGTAATGAAAAGTTAGTGAATATATATGCATTTCTACCCTGGTACTACACTATCTGCTCATACTGGATCACAAGTCGGCCCCACAGATACAGCAGCCCAGTTTTACTGCACTCCCCAAGGACCAAACGGTGCTGTGAATTTTAGTTGGACACGGTGTAATATATTGGGACCAAATTTAGAAAATAATTACCATTTTAGCTTTACCAACTCTAGATTTACACTACAGAAGCTGAATGTGATTCGTGTAATTCTGTAATAAGTGATGGTTATATATCAGAAATCAAATATCCGATATCCGTGCATGCGCGTCCTCACTTATAGCGCATGATGTGATTGGCAGACGGGGCCTAAAGTACTGCCCATCTGCCTCGTGCTAAAATACCACCATTCAATCGCGACACATCACTCTATATGCTTGCCAGTGTTCCGATTTGTACCAAAGTCACAAAAAAATATTTTGCGATCCATGTATTGCCCACCACTGACTTAACCTTAAGGTGAAATCTTGTTTTATACAAGTTTGCTAGAACGCAATCATAAAAGCCTATCTTGAACCTATTTAACTATAAGTTTTAGTTTTGGGTTAGCCCAGTGGTCATCACTAGTTTTTAGAGGGCCACTTTCGCCAATAAGACGCCAGTGTGAGAGCCGCCACACATTTGAAACCATTGGGGGTTTGACAGCACGATTATGGGGGGGGGGTGGGGTGTTTTCACATTTGAGTTTTGTCAGGGGCTGCACATCAGCGACCGCACTAAATGCCACCAGGGGCCACCAGTGGCCCGCGGGCCTTGCAATGAAGAACACTGGGTGAGCCCTAACGCAACTAAAAATGTATTTTCTTACTAATCAATATTGACATGCAGTCACTTTTAGATGAAATATTAATGTTATTTTGTGTCAGAATTTAATGACGTGTTACATGCCCCATCCACAGCAAAACGAGATTGTTAACAGGCTGAAACAAGCCACAATCCTTCTAAATGAAAGAAACACACGATTTACCTGCTTGAGTAACTGCTGTTCTTGATTTGAGGCCTCCATTGCTGCCAGTGTGCGGCGGGACAGCACCACCTTGATGATACAACCTGGGTACATGTTCACCGTCCGCATCAGGTTGACCACCTCCTGTGGGTCCATATATGGGTGATTGAGCACCACCACCGGCTGATTGGCCCTTGGCTGTTTGTGAGCCTGCCTGATGTACAGAGGCTTGATGGGCAGGGATAGCGGTAGCTGTGAAGAAAAACTGGAACATGCATTGGCCGTCTGAAGCTCTTTATCGTCCACTTTCTTCTTCAAAGTCCGGGCTGGTTTGGTGAACTGCTCTTTGGATTCACGGACAGATATAGGTAGAAAGCAGGCTTCATTTGAGGGACTATTGGGTTTCGTTTTAACTACTCTCAAAGCTGTGTTGTGTTTTTCCTGGAAATATGAAATGCAGGTAGCCAAGTAGGCAGATCTTGCTTGGGTTTTCATATAAGTAGATGCCATTACCGACTGAGGTTTGCATGTGGGTTTTCTTATTTTTATCTTTACTTGGTTAGTTCCTTGTATTTTCCGCTTCAATGGAGAAAAGTTTGCAAATGTCACATGCCCAGGTTCACCTTGGGTGTCAAAGTTCACATCAGTTTCCGGTTCTGACACAGGTTTCCCTTCACGCATATCTGCCTCTGAGACCACTTTGATAACATTTGATACTTTGGAAGTCGATTCAACACCGCTTGCAAGGGTCTTGGGTGCTACAACATAGTCAGGCTTCGATGCAGATTTTAAATCACCCGCTTTTTTGATCTCCGTATTCACAATCGCGTGACGGGTGTTAGATATTAATTCACCACAGTGCGCAAGTGCCATGAGTGTTGCTGCTGCATCTTCAGCTTCTGATGCAGGTTCTCCTTGACCCAATTTTGCTACTGAATCTGTATCATTAGAGACGTAGACTCTAGACACACGTTGTACACAGCCTGAAAGAGTTCTTGGTGTTGTCGATTCTTCGGTTTCTAAAGAATGTACGGCTACATCTGACTTTGCTCGACCATCAATGTGTAGTTCTCCACCTGTTGGCTCAGCAGCACTCTTGTTCTGGTCCAACTGCGATTTCAAATCAAAGTCACGCTTTGTCATTTCATGGGCATTGTCTGCATATTCACCGTTTTTAGAAACTGCTTTATAAATCACTGACGCACAATTCATGTTGCTTATCAATTCTGATGATGCCATTTTAGAAATTACCACATTTGGTAGCAACCCACTTGGAACATTTCCCTGTGATTTGGAGTAGTGTTCACCTTGGACAAAAGGTGAAGAAATTGAAGCCGGCTGAACATTTGTGGTTTGAGATGTTTCCGTTTCAATATCTCTCAAATCTTTGACATTTCCAATTTGAGCTGTTTGTGCTGGCAACTCTGAAATGGGTAGCATTGCTCCGTTGATGGCAGGAAGAGCCTTGCAAGGTCCAACATCTTTCGGTTGACTTCTACAATCCCAGGCCACTTGGAAATGAGGTTCATGGTTTTCAGCTGAGCACATGGGTTGAGTGATGAGCTTGGAATCGGCAGACTCTTTAGGAACAGGAGGGTCATTAATTACAGCTGTACTTTTTAACAGACCTTCATGTTGAGAGATTTCTGTTTGCTTTTGAGAATCCAAAACACTGCTCTCCAACAGATGAGCATTCGTGAAACACTTCAAATTTGCAGATGCCAAAGGCTGTATGAGAGGTATGGGTTGTGGGGGCATTGTCTCAGGCTTCTTTGAGGAAACAGCAATTGTTGGACCTACCGTAAGCAGGTTTTGCGAGGGAGAACTGGACCCGAAACCCTTGTCAAAAGCACTCAAGGGGGTGAAAAAATTCAAAGTGTGTTGATTTATTTTTTCTGTGTTGCACGCTTTAGCTAAAGCTTGAGTCGATATCAATGGAAAGTGCAATTGTATTGGCTTGGCTGAGTTGGGATACGTTTTAATGATGATCGGAGGTGGTGGGGGAAGCTGAACTGTGGCGCTTGATACGGAGCGATGCAGGTTGTCGGCCTTGTTGGTTGCGGCAGAGATTGTCTGAGTGGGAAAAAGCTTCAAAGGTGGTACAGGAATCATCAGTGGTGGCATATTTTGTGAAGGAATTCGCACATGACTTGTGAGGTCTCCATTCATCATCCCGGACAAAACATTTTCCGGACAGGCTATCTGAGGGCCTGAATTTGCTCCTACTGAAAATAATATAAAGGGTGCATTTTGATTCATTATAGACGGTATCATTATAGATTGGGAATTGCTAATGATGAAACTCTTTGGAGCCATTTGATTTGTGGTAGCCGTAAGTGTGGTAGTTGTTGTGGACACTCCCATTGTTGACGTCAAAACATTCGTTTGTCCTCCAACCAATGGCTGAAATGAAAGTGTGCTGGGCAAAGTTACTACAGTCGTGCAGACAGGCATGGGAAGGCTACTCGGAGATACATCCGATTGTTTGGTCAACATCAAGGGTGCTGGCTGGGCAAATGAGTAAGTGGGCTGCTGAGTGGGTGCTTGACACTGGTTCTGCATCTCAGATGAAACCTTTTTGTGCATCACATTCTGGATCACTTTCGACACAACAGACGACTGAGGAATATCAGCTGTTGACGAGTGAAGATTGCCTTTGGTGCTTTTTTCTAACAGTGTGGGCTCTTGACTGGCAGCAGAATTATCAGACTTCGGTACAGAAGGCATAATCTTCATTACTCTACCATTTGTAAGCTTGACGTAAAATGGAAAATGTGCAGGAGACAACTTCGAAGCACCTTTTACCGGGATGAACACTTTGCTACCAGGCTTCCTGACCAAATCTTCCAAAATATGCGGTGGCAAAGTGAACTGCATGGTAGTGGGACTAGCAACAGCATTTGTATCTGGAGTCAAGACAGTGCTGGTGCTGTTACAAGCCATAATCCCATGGTCTGGTTGCATCGGTACAGATGGCTTTTCTTGCACCGTTTTCAATGGCTGACCGGGCATTTCTGGCAAAACAGATGTGAATGTGACAGGTGGTGAAGTCAGTGTGGTGGGAGAGGGAGTGGTGCATGTTAATGTAGTGCTTTGATTAGAGTCCAGTGATAATTGTGTGTCTGTTGGTGGTAGAGCAGGAGGAAGGACTGAAGCAGAGGTTGATTGTGGATGATTTTCACTCGGTAACATTTCATGGCGTGAATGTGAAACGAGAGGCTGCGTCAAATCTAAAGGGTTGCATTCTTCTCGTTGCATAGGTTCACCTGAAGACAATTCTGTGACGGTGCACAGCGGTTCAATTATTTGATTTACTGCTTTGGCAATAAGAATTTGTGAATGGCTTTCATCTGTAGGAACCTCAACGCAATCTTCCTGTAACTGTTCGGAAGGTTTACCAGAAGATGGTGTATTGGCGAATTCCATGCTTTGTGATATAGGCAGTGCATGCTCATTTGCGTCACTGAGAGTGGATTTTTGCTTGCTTTTCAGCAATGGTTTGGAACTATGCTTTTTCGGCCTACCACGCTTTGGTACACTATCAAATTTGCTCTCAGAGCTGAGGATTATGTCAGGATTCATCCAGGAATCACCTAACAAATATTGGTCATGTTTCAAATCAGCAGTGGCAATCAATTTAATTTCTTCAGCAACATCTGTTTCACTGCCATCAGAATTTGCAGACGTCTGCCTTCGGCTTGCTATGTTTTTCATCATTAACATCCCATTACACCCTTTGAGTTCATGTAGAGAAATCTCCCCTTCGATTTCTTTCAGATCATCTGACAAGACACTTGCATCTTTTTCCACCGATGCTGCATTCACTTGGACTGTTCCAGACTGCGGAGTGGATGCGTTGCCGAGATTATTTATGGATATATTTTCCGGCCTCCTGTTTTCATCTGGGACCTCAGGCTCAATCAGATCAGGTGGTTCAGACACTGCACGGTTCTCTTTGACGTTGTAAGTGTCGGTGGCTCTTTCGTGTGCACACTCTGGAGTAAGTGAAGACTTTTCAGAACTATTCTGAGGAATTGGCTTTATCACCTGCGAATAGTCCAGCCGAGTCCAACATATTCTCTTGGCATCGGATGAAGGATTATCTGTTACTTGTGCACCTCTTACAAGGGACTCAACAATGGACCGTTTGCATTTGGATGAAGCTGGCACAGCGAGGTTGTCTACAATGGTTATTTCAGGATCTTGCTGCGTTTCCTTGCGAGTAACAAATGCTCTCACACTGCTGGACACTGTGTCTTCAACATCTATGCAGTGTGACACCTGATTTTCTTTGATTGTCTCAGAGGAATCAGAATTTTTCTCCTGTTGCGGTATACTTGGAGATACAGATGAAGGCTGGTTTGTTTTGTCACCATCATTATTACTTGCTAGCTTGAACTGCACCAACTTCATCAGGGACTTTGTTTTACCAGAATTTTTGCTGGCACCAGAATTATCTGCTCTTGCCCCATTATTTTCTGTTGTCTTGATGGCATCCACCTCCGTTTTTTGCTTAAGCTTGATAACCACCTGCTTCTTACCTTCAACAAGCTTCACGCCCAACACCTCAAAAGTGTAATTGGCTGGAATTAAAATTCGGCTTCCTATGACCGGCAAAAGGGGACGATTGTTCATTGTCTTCTGCAAGACAGAAGTGTTTTCTTGAAGCAGAGGGACACTCTTGGTTGTGCTTTGCATCAAAAGATTACTTTTCTCCAGGACTTCTCCATCACCCAGCATCAGTAAATCAGGTTTCCGCATCACGTCAACTGTGCCCACATGATCGCCGCTCAGGATTGGCAACAGAGGTGCACTCAATCCTCCGTCTACACCAACCACATCATCCACAGTGGTTGAGTCACATTCGTTTGTTTCGTCAGGTGTGTCGCTTGCATTTACTTCCGGTATCTCATCTTTCCTCCGGCAGGGCGACATCAAGCTGTGAGAACGAAGAGCTTGGGCAGCCTGCTCTTCAGATGAAAAGCACTCTAAATTTACACTGTGCTTCTGAAGAGAATGCTTCTTTACCATACGGAGAACAGGATGTTGGAAATTACACTGATTACAACAGAAAACCTGCGCATTAGGGTCTTGCACAAATTTGCAAACCTGTTTCCGGATGACCGTCGTACTTTTGTTGGCTCCATTCCTTTTTCCCTTCGTCTTGTCCTTACAAATTGTGCAAGAAAACTTCAACTGCTGAAGTGGTTTAGCATTGGTCTTATATTTTTCTTCCTGCATGTGCTCATTGTAATGAAATTTCAAATTCAAGTATGCATCGATTGACTCCTTGCACAAGGGGCAATTGAAACTTGGACGAATGCCTGCGTGGGTTAAATTGTAGTGCCCTATCAGTCCACGTGGTGAGAACTCCACTGCCGTGTTCTGGGGACAATTATTTTTCTCCTCGGGCCAAGTTTGACCTGACGAGCCAAAACACATGTGAGCATGAAGCCCATCGTTGCTATTTACCTTTTGGTGGCAGCGGTGACAAAACTGGACAGAATTGCGCCCAGACCTTAGAGACTTTCCCTTCAGTGTTGCTGGAGAATTAGAATTACCCTGGTGTTCAAAGCAACCAGAGGGATCAGAGAGACTTGTGAATATCGATTCAGATAATTCACTGCTGTTTGGTAATGTAACTTCGCTGTCTGCCATTTCAGTCACAATATTGCTTGCCCTCACATCCGTTGCAATGTCACCGACTGGTCCATCATTTGGAATGTTTGCAACTGTCCCATCATTTTCAATGTCACTTGCACCTACATCATTGGCAATGCCAATGGATGCCACGTCAGTTGCAATGTAGCTTGCTTCTGCATCATTTACAATGTTGCTAGCCACTCTATTAATTGCAATGTCGCATGTACCTGCATCATTTTCAATGTTCAATGCTGCTTCGTCAGTCGGTGGCACAGATTCCTCAATCTCACTGACAGGAGATGCACAAACGGTGTTATTTATGTCGGCCACCAAGACAGATCTCATGCCACTGTAGTGAGGAGAACAAACATGAGGCCGGGAGAAGTCTTCAATCCACTGACTGCAGTGGCTGCATAGTTTGGCGATGTGTACTGTGGACTTAGGCTGCAGTTCGTGAATTTTGGGTACGTTAGCCACAGCTTTTACTCCACCAACACTGGTACTCTTCCTGGTGATGCCGCTTGCATTCCTATCAGAGCTAAGCCCTGCAATATTAAGTTTGTGGAGAACAACCCTTAACGATTTCAGCATGATGCCTCGTGCTCCTTCACACGCATTTTCCCTTTCGCACCGAGGCTTCCTTTCTTTCGAAGGACTGCAGCAACCTTTCGACGATGATCCACTATGGCCCTTAGGGAATTTGATTCTTCGTTTTTTGAAAGAGGGCATACTTTCTTCACTGGATGCATCTGAAGACATGGCTGGTGGCCTCTTCTTGTCTGAAATTACAATGTTAGTTGTTTAATTGCAAGTAAAACTGTACTTCTACTAATTTTGGACATGCAAGCAATGTTGAATGCATGATGCTTAATCTAGCCTACTCTCTAATAGGAAAATAATAATGTAAGGTTAGTAAATTATTTCCAAGCAATATGTTAAGCTGCAAAATGTTATTTTTTTATCCAAACGTATTCGGGTTCTGCAAAACATTTCATTTGTATTCTTTTATCAAGGCTGATATGAATCAGTCGATAGCTTTTTCAAGTTGATATGACTTTCAGACTAAGCTTTATTCTATGAAACAGTTGTGAGCAAGTTTGCAATGGGCAGTCAATTATAGAATGCTGAAACACAATGCACGAGTAATATGCAGGCGTGCATACACATTTCACAATTTTACTATCATTACTCATTTTAAAAATACTGAACACATTTAGTACGATTGTTGGATACTTTGGCTATGATCCATTGAATTAAAAGTATACACCTTTTGGTGGTACAATCACTGCACTATATTAAAATGTAATTGTGAAAAGTTATACATTTAACAGACTTATGTTTGTCAGTGATGTACAAAATAACATTTTTATTACCTTTGTCAAAAACTGATATGGTAGAGAAACGTGTGAGGAAGTGACCCAACAATTTCCGATGGCAGATACCACACAAAATTACAAGTTAATGGGATTCTAATTGATGTAAATTATACATTGTGGGCAGCAGAGGGCAGTGCAGCCAAATCAATTTCTGAACGTACTTCTGCCTCATCATCTGAGCGACTATTTTCGCCAATGAGCACTGACCAGCATTGTTCACCTCACTAATGTATGGCGTAGAAAGGCCATGATCATCTAGCAGTGGCTGACCAGAGGGGCTGTAAATGTACCTACATAAGCATAGTCTTATTTTGCCTTAGTTATAATAACTTTGGTATAACAGCTTTTATACTAGCGAACACCATGCCATATGAACCATATGGCAGGACCCCGGGGTCCCACAAGCCCCCAGCTCTCGCATAAACTGTGTTGCGATGTCATTTTGTCTGTTGAAGGCGAACGATATGGCAACCTATTCCTCTTGACAAGCTCTACACAATGTGATAATCAAAGTTACAAAGTTTAGTTTCTTCTGCTGCGCTTGGACAAAACATAATGATCTGCGCCAGGTGGGTCGCGGCGTTTATGTGCGCGGTGGGACGGAGTCGCCAAAAATAAATTAATTACGATTTTGACTTCCGTTCATTTGGGACCCCAGGGTCCTGCCATAAGGTTCGTATACATGAATAGCCTGGTCCTCTTTTGTCAGCCACGGTCAATCCACTGCTGTATGAAATCTTCCCCGAGCCGTCGCCATCTCTCGTGATCACGTGATGCGATAATCCACCAAGCAGCTGCACACAAGCCGATTCACTGCTTTATTTAATTATTGGATGTACCTTTGGACGCATTCCATTCCTTGACTGCAGCTCCATCTTTACTCTTAAATAGCGGTCATCATCCCTTCTACCCATGATGCGTTCTGCCCAAGCCCACTTACGTTTGTTAACAGTTTAAATTGTCTTATCTTATACTCTACCTGTATGTCATCTAATCCACGTGATCCTGTCTCTCAATGTAATTTCACTCAGTCATTCCACTGTGGAATATCAAAGCACTGGTCCAACTGAGCAGTAAAATATGCTCGCTTCTACATTATTTTCAGATTCTTGCATGGGGGGGGGGGGGGGGGGTGCTTGGCCAATTATTACAAAATGTTTTGTGTGTGGAGAAAACAGATTACTAGGAGAAACCCCAAATACACACAAGACGGAATAACATTGTCTGCTCAGATGGGATTGCGAACCCACTTCATGCACTGCCACCTACTGGCCACCTCGCAGACCAGCGGGTTTGTGAGTTGCAATTTTCAACTTTTCCAATGCGTCTTAATTGTTAATAGTACACACAGTAACAAAGAATAATCGTATGTTTAGCAGAAGGACCGTGGAACAAGAAACAGAACAAAGACCAAAGATAGGCACTGGCCTAGCAGTAAAAACTAATAATTAGCGAAAAGGGGTTACAAAAAAACCATGAGGCTAATGTAAGACAAGAGGTGGCAATCTCATTTGGCCCCATCGTCTTTAAAAGATGGAATGGAAATAATGATGCTTTGGATGCATCTGTGTTTTAGGTTAAGGTAAAATATGAGAATGCATACCGAGATCAGCTGTTTAAGACGGAACAGCATGAAACATATGCAGAGGCTGACCATAGCAGGTTGAAATGTTTTTCAAAAGCTTAACATAAATACAATGAGCTTAAAGAAAGCGGCCAATCAGTACGTACTACCCACTATGAAACATGGCTCAGACAGACGGGCAAAACCAAAAACTGTAAAACTGCATAAAGAGGAATAAATGCATACTACAAGTTGAACTGAGAAAGAGGAAGGCAGGAATTAAGAGTACACAGCTTAACGAAAATTTAAACGACTGTATTATGAAAAGGTTTGGACAGGGCACGTCACGGTTTGAAGAAATGACCGATGGGCAAGAATGCCGAACGTCCAGCGAGGAGATGAAGCGACGGAATCAGCTCGTATGCAGGCGGTTGGGTAAGATTTGTTACATCACTGGATCGCGGGTCTTGGCGGCTTTAGAGGCCTTCATCCAGCAGCGGATTGAACACGGCTCGACGACGGGGTGGTTTGGGGGGGGCTTTGCGAGTCTGTGACGCACGATGTGCGCGTAACTCGTCGCCAGGGGGCCGCATCGTCCCCCCCCCCGGAAGTGACTCACAACCACCACCACAGCCTTAGCAGCCCACAACTGCCGCGCCTCCAACAAAGGCGAATCGAATAAATCACACCAAAACCGACAGCCATATCCCCGCGCCCCCACCCCCTCACAAACATCACCGCTATTATCGCCATCACCACCACAGTACAGCGACCGCTACCAGACTCGCCGCTCCCTGCTCCCTTCACTGTTGTTTTGGGTGGCGGGCGGTGGCAATGGCGCCGCAGCCGCCGCAGCCGTCTTCGCTCTCCACCGTCAGCGCCGCCGAGACTCCCCGTGTTTCTATATATTTTAAACTTTCTGTCACATACTCTCTTGGTGTTGTTGTTACCTCTCTGCGTGCTGCTGTCGCTCTTGCCGCTGGAGTTGTCACGGTGGTTGTTGGTGTCGCTCTCGCCATTGCAGCCGCTTGCCCCGCTCATGGTCGCCGCCTCGCGCATGAATACACGCACACGAGCCGTGACGCAGCTCCGCCCCCCACCCCCAGATAACTCCGCGGATTGCGCCTGATGATGGCCGGGAAGCGAGTGGCAGTTTTAATTGTAACGCGCCGCTTTACATTCTGTGGGCGACGTCGGGGCTACGGAGAGCGAATGTGAGGCGGTTATCCTGCGAGGTCGCGGACTTTAAGGCGGGGAAGTGCGGGACTATTTTTTATGGCCGTGCCGCCATTTCCCCGCTCCAGTGCCTGTAATGGCGGACAGCCTCGGCCTAAATCAGTCGACCCCCTGACCCTGTTACATGTACAAACCACTTTAAGTTAAGGTTTATTTTACATTTTGAACATTTGAAATGGTTAGCTGAGGCAACATTTACACACGTGCGTTCATGAAACAGACTGCTGTGTCCGGTTACATTAACAACTCGAGTTTTAATTTGCACTGCTCTTAAATAAAAAAAAAATTAATAAAAATGAGCTCCACTTATTTGTAAATGCATTGTCCCCTTTAGTGTGTTGTAAACACAGCCTAAAGTCAACTTTCCTCCCAACTTGCACAGCCCAATGCTTTCACTGACGGTATTTGTGTGAAACAATCAAAGCTACATGAGGCGTTTATTGAACAATTTCCTCAATAACACAAAGCGAAATTCACTTAAATGTGTTGGGTATAAAAGTTGCATTAAAAACTTCAGTGCATTGCTTTCAGTGACAAGCATACTGTACACGTGTGAAAAATGTACCAGCTTAAAGAACTGCATAAATGATACCCCCTTTACACAATACACAAGGGAAAGTTACTGAATGTTATTAACCCCTCGGCTTGTCATGCTTTGACAGATTAAACATGATATACTGTTTGCGGTCATGTAATTTTTTCGGTAATAGCTCACTGGGGTCAGTTTCTTTTACGAGAATAACAGCGGGTTTCATTTCCCTTAAGTTTACAACTCACCTTACGTGTTTGATCTTTCGTCTTACCTTCTTAGGTACTATTTTCATCTTAACTTTTTATTCTAATTTATATTTTCATGTTATTAAGTCTTAAAACCTGTTCGTTGGTGTGGCCAACTCGTTTGCTCCCACGTTCAGCCTCCTAACCAACAGTCATTTAACGTACAATCCTGTATACATTTATAAATATATATTTACATCTTATTTCCACATTAACACACACATTCACTGCACTGAGACTCAAACAAATATACTCGTGTACTGTATATGCACACATACACGCAAATATACTGTTCACGTACACACGTTTTCATTTACATACACACATAGAGTCTGGTGAAACACATATATACTCAATAACCGCCATCAAAACCACTATTACTACCACTGACACAACTATTGCCACAACTACCACTACCAAAATCATTACCACAACCTCTACCACATGCACAACTACCACTTCAAGTATTGTACTACCTAATCCATTTCCTATACCCTCACCTTAACCACTACCACGGCCGTTACAACAAATACTATACTACCATCACCACAATCACTGTAACATTCACCTCGACCACGACTACTACCTCACCAACTGCCACTTCCACTAATCATCCACCACCCCCTGTATCTGTGTCTGCCTCCCCTAGTGGTGAATGGTGTCTGAACCAGTTCTGACGACCCCGTTCCTGTAATCTATGTTTGTCTCCCTCACAACTGCTGGCCCAGTTTCGTAGTGGTGTCTGAACCTTGCCTAGATTAGGTCTGGACCTCATATCCCTCTACCTCCCACAAAATTTGCTTGTTTGTGTAGATATTTTCTACCCACATACTCTGATATCATGCCCACTATAACTGCCACAGCCATCGCCACAACTACTATTACCACATATATTACCGAAGACACGATTGCGACCCCCCACCAAAGGATCATAACCTTATCGTGGTGGTGAGGTTTGTGTGTTCCAATGACCCTCAGAGCTATGTTGCCTAAAGTCTTGTACTCCTGATAGGGTGTCCCTTGGTGAATAGGTCTGAGGGAGGTTCCAGACAAATAACGGTCCAAACAAAAGCCCCTTATGAATGGTTCTGAAATATAAAAACCAGAGAACCTCGCCCGGACAAGGTATATTGGGACACCACCCTGGAGCCAGGCCTGGGTGTGGTGTTCACCGGCATGCGGCTGGTGGGTGGGTCACCCACGTAACCCGGTCGGGCCTAGCCCGAAATGGCTACGTGGTGCCGTCTTGTGGGCCCACCATCCACAGGTCGAAGGGTGAGGGCTGGGTGTAATGCCAGTATGACAGGGAGAGGGATGGTCTCGGACGGATTGGACCTTGGCAATGGACACTAGCTTTTTGGATGTGGAATATCACGTCACTGGGGGGGAAGGAGCCAGAGCTGGTGGAGGAGGTAGAAAGGTATCGACTAGATATAGTCGGTCTCACCTCCACACAGTTATGGCACTGGAACCAAACTTCTTGATGGGGGGTAGTCTCTCTCTTATTCTGGAGTAGCCCCTGGTGAGAGGCCTCATCAGCCTGTGATCTCTAGCATGCACTTGAATGGTGTGATGCTGAGTGTGAAGCGGCTGGGATGAGGATCATTATCTCAAAATCTGAGGTCATTGTTCACTCCCAGGAGATGATGGAGTGTGCTCTCCAGGTGAGGGGGAAACAGTTGCCCTTAGTGGAGGAGTTTAAGTACCTCTGGGTCTCTTTTGCGAGTGATGATAAGTGGGAGATCGGCTGTTGGATCGGTGCAGAGCTAGAGTCCGTCGCCAGCAAAAGGGAGGTCTGGACTTCCCTACTAAACATGCTGCTGCTGCGACAAAGTCCATGATCTCGCACTTTTTCCACCCTCTCCAGTCTCGGTATATCCAGCACACCCTTTCCCTGGCTTCAGTCGTATCTCTCTACACACACTTAATCTGTTTATTTCAACAATGCCACCTCCCCAATAATGTCTTCATTTAATTTTTCCTATCACTTATTTGCCAACGACACCAATATTTTTCTTTTCCTTTCCCTCCTTTACCCCTTATGTTGCCTCCCGCATTTCTGACTGCTTTACTGTTTTAAAATCCTGGATGTCACACCACTACCTCTCCATCAATTCTTCGAAAACTGAAATACTTTCTTCCTTTCTCCTCACTCCCCTCCACGCTAATCTACTATCTCAACCTCGGGGTCATCTTCAACTTCTCCCTCTGTAACCATATCTCTGCCACTACCCACACTTTCCACTTTCACCTACTCAATATTTGCAAAATCAGTCTTATCTCACTAGCTGCTGCTAAACTCTCGATTAACTCCCTCATTTTCACTCACCTTGACTATTCCAACTGTCTTCTGCTTGGCCTTCCTGCCTATGCCTTCACTCCCACATAGCTGTCTACTATCACTGTATGTTCAAATTTCTCACTCTAGTCTATAATTCCCTCCATGGTCTTGCTCCCCCCTCCTTATCTTGCTTCTCTCATATCCTACTTTGACCCATGCCGGCCTCTATGGTCCCAATCACTACTGTTCCTCCCTGTACCTCCCTTGCCCTGCACCCAGGCACGCTTTCATTCATTTTCTCTTCTTGCTCCCCTTCACTGGAACAAGCTACCACTACACATAAAACAATAATCTTCACTAACCTGCTTTCGTTCCCCCCTTAAACCCCATCTCTTTTCCCTTTGCGCATCCTACTGCTGCTCCCCGTCCCCCAGCTATGACCAGGCCTACCCCAACCCATCCTCTGACTTCCACCGGTTCCACAGCAGCCCATCTCTTCTCCAGCCCATCTCACGCCCATTTAGCCCCCTCTATTCGGCCAAACAGAAGTTCATTGGACCCAGCCAACACAGCCTCGCCTGCAGGAGGAGCTCGATAATAGGACTGTGTCCAGATCTTTCAAGGATCTGCGATCTATTCATACAATTCAGTCTGGAGGAACCTATGATTGATCATAGGCAGGCTGGCCGATGTATTTCAAACTGGCAACAATGTTTTTTTTAAAGGCCTGCACACACAACAACAACAAGAGCCACCATTCGCCCTAAGTGGTGGTGGAGTCACCACGGCACGTGTGCCAGGCTAGGTGTACCTTGATACCATGTGAAGTGTCAAAGGCTCGCTGATAACAGGTCATGGGATAGACCCAGGTGCCATGGGTTGACTGACTGAAATAACTGGCAGATGCACCACCTATTCCCGCTGCTGTGATAATTTTGCTGCATTCTATCCACCTAGCACTCTGCTCGTTGTTGTGAGCATCACTCCTCTACCCTCTGCTGTTGTTGGAGGGGACTTCCTCCAACTGCCCATTAGTATCCTTCATGAACCTCCTTCATAGAGCCCGATCTTGACAGCGCTGGTGGCAGTCTTCGGCAAGTCCAATCAGCTCCACATCCTACTGTACGGCCTCAGTCCATTTCACCTCCAGCCCATACCGTGCGCATTTGCCCCCTCTTTCTAGCCAACCAGAAGCTGCTTGGTGCCCAGGGCATGCGGGATACATGACCCAGCCAATGCAGCCTTGATTGCTGCAGGAGCTTACTGATGGTAATATGTCCAGATTGTTCAAGGATTTGTGAGCTAGTCACAAGGGCAGGACTTTTTGCCGAGAAGACCCAAAGCTTTGTGTGGAGTGACAGACCAAGCAGCTTCCAAATAGCGTTACGCACTGGACGAAAAGATAGTGCCACTCGCCTGATTCGGAGTGAGGCCTCTGCTGCCAAACAAGAGTTGGTCATAAGCACACTACCCAGTTACAGAAACTTCTCCACTCTCTACACTACAGCCCTATCACTCATGGGGAGTTGAGGGGTAGAATATTAGATGATACAAAATACTCAGGCAGGCGCTTAGTTTTGTTGATGGTAAAGCCTCACCTCTTAGTGGCATGCTCTACGTTTAGCAGCAGAACCTCCAACTCCTCAGAGTGAACAGCAACCACCAGATCATTAGCGCACATAATATGGTTGACCAATAGGGAGCCATAAATTGACTGCACCTGGATATCGATCCCGGGTATCTGTACCAGATA